AGCTTGCATTATATGTTTTGTTTGATTTGTTCTGGTATGTTTTCTTCTGTACTACTTTGCCTGTGATGTCATTTGGAAAACATGCAAGTCATCTAAAGATAGCACTGTCTTTATTTGCAGGCCGGTAATGGACTTTGGTACCGAATGAATGATGCTTCAGTTGAGCTTTCAGACATCAAAACAGTTCTCAATCAGCAAGCTTATGTACTTTTTTATATCAGGTAACTGTGTTCAGACTATATTTACTCCCCTGTTATTGATGTTTTTCTTCTTTTCACGTTTTTCTTTCTGTCCTAGGAAAAGATTACAGTTTGTGTAATTCAGTCCAACCTGAATTCCCCCATGTCCTTTATTTTCCTCATTGCTTGGGCTTAAACTGCTGCCCTTGTGTACATTGCTATAGAGCTGCTCTCTGTAGCTGGCTGATGTATACAACAGGAGAAATTAAGGCCATAGATGGTGTAAGGATGAGTTACTGCTCTGAAAAGGATAGTCATTGTAGGAAGACCGGTATCTAATTTTCAGTTTGTTGCCTCAGTTAAGTCTTTTGTGTATGTCTTCTATATCTTAGAAACTGTTCCTATAAAATTATAGGATTGGCTTTAATCCAAGAATAGGCCAAAAGAAAAAAACTAAACTAAGATCACTGCTCTTTTCCGAAGGCGCTATGATTTGACACTTGGAGAACGTGCTTTTTACCTACCAGCACCATCTTATCCCCGTTCATTCCTTGGTCAGCGCGGGGCTAACAGTAAGCAGGCTGGATTTATGGGACCACGACTTCCTCCTCATATGATTAAGGTAATTTGAGGGGGGCAGATAACAGCACTGAAGTTATTTTTTCTTTTGGTGTGGGGGCTTTTTGTTGTTTTTTAGCATCTGAGTTTTATTTCCCCTCCTGCGCTGCAGCTTTCTTCACAGCCCTCATGCTACAGCCAGAATTTTTCAAACAGTGACTAATCCTAAATTGTGAAGCCATGCTACTTTCTTGCTTTATACTTCCAGTTCAGCTTTCTAAAGCACTGAGAACTACGGTCTTGTGATAATTTAAGTAGTCTACTAATTTTTAAATAATGAAAAAAAAAAAAAATTCCCCCTCCAGCTGTGTCACTTTAGCTGCAACAGTGAAAACACATTTCCTTGTTCCTGAGTACCAGGACAATTATTCCAGTGTTTTCAGGAGGTGTTTAAAGGGGAAAATAAATATATTTGGGAATAGCTTGAGTCAATGTTAGGCTGTTTGGGTGTGTTTCAAAAATGATGCTCATTAGATACCAATATGCAGTAAACAAAAAGTAGGAATTAAACACACTTGTTGAACTCGCATTTATATTTGAAGGGAGTTGTTTTTTCTTCTTACGTGTTGAGACAATTTGTAGAAATATTTAGTAGAGAGAATATAATGTTTTAAAACTGGAAATGCTGTGTGTCTGCACATAACCATCTTGCAATGTCTTCTTTTTGATTACAGAATTCAAGTCGTCTAAATGGAAATGGACCCCTAAAAGAGGATCCAAATACTGTTGGTGGCACCCTAAAAAGGCCATCTTCAGCTCCACCAACAGCCTGTGTTCAGAACTGGGCAATTACCAGGCCTTCAATTACCGATTCATCAAAAAACCAGAAGATCACTATCAGTATTCATAACAAATTGCCTGCACGACAGACTGTGTCGCAACCTGACTGTCTTAGTGGTGCTGCAGAGGATGAGGATATAAGCAAGCCTGTTCCTTCATCCACAATTACCAATTCTTCTGCAGCAGAGTCTACCTCAAATGCATCTACAATGTCACTTGCTACTAATGTTTCCAAACAGGATGTTCCTGATGAAATTTTTGTTGAGCCAGCAGTGAATGGAAATCCTAAACTCAGCTCTGATAACGCAGTCCCTTACAGTGCAGAATCTTCAGGAAAATCTGAGGAGTCCAAGGGCTTGTTTAAAAGGAGTTGCAACATAATATCTTCTAATGGAATTTTGATTGGAAAGGTGGTCCGTCCATTGCAGAATTCCCATTCTTCCTGTCAGAATGATGAAGAAAGATCCCAGCATGAGCTGCCAAAAAATGATTCACTAAATGGTGCTATTAGTTTAGATAATGAATCTAAAGAAAATGGACTGAAACTTGATGATTCCACTTGCCAAGTCCCACCTGTTAAACCTTCTGAGATTTTCTTTTCTAAAACAAATGGATTGCTTGAAACAGTGAGTTATGTTTGCTCCCTCTAAAATTTCTCACCTATAATTTATTCAAAAGCATTATAATATTCCTAATTCATGTGAAATACCAACACAAATTTCATCATAACCTTTGTGCTATTATCCCATTAGAATCTGCAGAGCTGAGCTGACTTAGGAGAACATATCAACTTAAAGTGAAGTTCAGTTGAAATAAGACTTTATAAGTTTCATAAATATATTTGGGAGGGGTGAGTGAGGTGATGTGTAAAATGGGGAAAGCCCATATAACTCAAAGCCATCTTGTTTTAACATCTGATGTAGAAATTTTGCAAGCAGTAGTTTTCTACTAAAGAGAGCATTTATTTCTGTGTGTTAACTTCTGCATTTTAATTGTAGATGCCTATAGATGTGTCGCCGGTTCCTAAGGAAATAATCATAGAATCTCGTACATACAGCCAGTTGAATAGCTTGTCAGAGGAAACAAGGTAAAATGAGTACACTGATTAAAACAAGATTTCACAAGTTTATCATCGTTTTACCCATCTACTAATACAATTTAATACAAAGACTTCAATCAATACAGATAATTAATTCCACACTGTACATCTAGTGTTGCAAACATAGCACTGAGCATATATTCTCCTGATAGTAAATACAGGCGGATGAGTCTTGGAAAACTTTCATTTCTTCATAGAATGTTTTTCCATTTTTTTTCCCCATTGTCTGGAATACTTTTTCTATTCATCTTTCCCTTTTTTTTTTTTTTCCCCCCATCCTAGAGTGTGGGAATGTCAGTTCCCACCATCTGCTCTCCTGTTTGGGAGAGAGAGGAAAAACAATATGTTTACTTTTTTCTACTTGGGGGGAGAGCAAATACAGTGGTTTTGCCTGTTGATTCAGAGCAGCAAGTAGAGGGAGATGTGTTGGTTGTGAGTTTTTTTTAATGCAATACTTGCAGAATCAAGAGGGGGGGGAAAAAAATCTTCTCTAGCAGCTGAGGAAGGTGTAAAAATAGGTTTCTAAAGGGAATGTCTTTAGAGTTTTCCAGTAGCCACTGATTTTTTTTACTTAAGGGCATTTTACTCCCAACATTCATGTTTCAGATGGACTTTTTCAAATGAAAAATGTGTTTTTATTTTCTGCAGTATCCCTGGACCTCAGAAATCTTCTGAGAATGATGCTCTTATGGAAACTGTGGTGATGGAAGCACTGTTTGCCTATGAAGAATCCAGGAAGGTTCCTTCCAACTTGAGCTGTGAAGTTGAGAATCTTTTTACTCAATCAGATTCTGAAACCATTTCTGCCAAAGAAGAAGTTCCTAGAAGTATTGTAACAAAAGCTGATAATGCACATCCCAGTATCAATGGTCAGCACAAGGTCAGGAAAAAATCCTTGGACACTGAGGATGAATTCCTTGAGCAGTGTGAGTCTGAAGACAGTAGAGACAAAGACAAACCAAGAAGATCAAAGGAACCTGAAGTCATTTCAAAAGAAAATCCTTTGTACATCAAAGGGTCCCCTGAGAGCAAAGAGAAATTAGGGCAAACTTCCTCTATAAAGTCTGACATTGAATGTAGTTCTAAAAAACTTGCATCTTTAGATATTACAGAAAAATGCCAAGACACAAAGGACATTTCTAGTAACTACGTAGAAGTACCACCTGTTAATGACTCTTGTATTACGAAGCTGGATAAAGTTTTGGAGAGTCAATTTTCTAGAGAAAATGAGGGACTAAATCATAAAAGATGTGAAGAAGATAAACATGGGAAAAAATACAAGAAAAAAATACACGACTCTAAAAAAACTGACAAAGAGCACTACCGAAAGAAGAGAGAAACCTCAGACACTGAAGAGAGGGAGAAGGAGAAGCAAACCAGAAGCAAAACGGATGATCATTCCCACAGGAGGAGGTGCTCTCGCAGTGTGGAAACAAATAAGCAAAATCGTCGTAAGGAGGACTATTGCAATGAGAGCAAGTACAGATCTTCTCATCATGAAAGAAACAGCCCAAGTAATGGCAAAAGCTCAGGAAAATACTCTCGTTATAGATCCCGAAGCAGAGAAAGAACAGAACAAGACAGGAAGAGGTATTATCATTACAAAGGAGAGAGAACTTGGAGCAGAGAAAGATACTATCAAGATGAACGACGAAGCTGGGAAAAATGCAGATACTACAACGATTATTATTCCTCTCATGGAACTAGAGATGGTAGAGAGAGAAAGTCCTTTTATTGTGATAAAGATGTTGACAAATCAAGTGAGGCTTACAACAGGTCCCATAAGGATTACTATTGCAAAAGTAGGTGGCTTCACAACACGCTCGCCAGAGAGGAAAACATACGTCACTTCAGCAGCCACCAAGCTCATTCAAATTTCGAAGACTATTCCCGGGAAAATGAAAAAGAAAAAATAAGAAATGGCAAGAGAAAATACACTCACATGGAAAGAAGTGGGAGTGAAGTAGAAGAAAAATGCCGAAAGACAGATGACCAAAGAATGAAAAAATATAAGAAAGTCAAGAAGAAAAAGAAGTCCAAAGAGAAACATCGTGAGAGGGATTACAAGTAAGCAAGGATTCCAGCATAATCAGCATTTTTTCCCAATTATTTTCTGGGTTTTTCTCATGTCTGCCTTTTTTTCCATTGTTTCTAAGTTATTTATATAGCGTAACCTGGCTGGGGATCATGTCATTAGGCTGATCACATGAACACAGGGAAGATATTGCTGAGTTGTGTTAGAACATTAGATCTGGACCATGTAGTCAGAATCACATCTGCACACCGTTCTCAATTGGGTTACAACAATTTTTTTTATTATTATTATTTCTTTAATTCCACAACTATCCCCTGTTTATGATTTGTGTACAAAGCAGGACCAACTGTCCTTCAATCTGAGGGCTTAAGTTTGCTGCATCTAAAGTAAGTTCGATGTGCAGAAATTACCACAAAATAGCTGACATGCTGCAAGTCATCACCTGTTGTAAAATAAATAATGTTTCATACATGCGTCGAGTGCCACATATGTTTTTCTATTTTTAACTTGCATATTTCCTTCAGACTTTATGATTTGGATTTCCCTGTACTGCGCTTGGATAATGACAATCGGAAACGGAAGAAAAAGAAGAAAAAGAAACACATCAGAAAACTGAAAGCCACCTTGGAATATTTAGAGCCTCATTTCCAACAGAAAACACAGGAAAAGAAGCAGGAATCCAGTCCTCCAGGCAGCTATTTATGTAAGCAATACAGAAACCAGGGCAGTAAACAACCCTACAAGGATTTCACCTGCACCTACCTCCAGTGCAGGTGAAAGTGAGAAAAACACCTTCCAAACAGCCTGCGTTAGCATAAAAATGAGTGTACAGGTGGTTTTGGTTTGTGGTGGTGGTGTTAGGGTTTTTTGTGGAGGGTTGTTTTTTTTTTCATTTTTCAATGACTGCTAGGAAAGAAAGTCTGAAAGAAAAGCGTGAAGGGGTGGAAGGGCAAGTAATCTGAATTCAATCTAATGGTTAAGTGGCAAACAAGTGGGAGAGATGCAAGATGACCTATTAAATTCAGCCTAGCTAACTAGGCAAAAAAACCTTGGGCAGCTATAGCTGGAAAAAGAATCCAGCAGGTAGACAGGAGGTTCAGGAGTCGAGATGATGACATGAAAAACACTGCAACAGTAAATGACTGAAATAATTAATTATAAAATTTATTACCCATAGGTATTGAAATATATTGAAATAAGTTGAAACTAAAATTGAAATATTAAGTATTGAAATAATAAGTAATTGACTGTTCAGCTATTTCATACCACAGAAACAGCGCTGACTGCTTATTCAGAGTAACTTTAAGTTGGTGATAATACTGAAATATTGTTGTTTCAGATGTAGATCTGCTTTCTGCTAAGCAGACTGAATTAACCTGTCAGGCGATGCTTTGCAGTTCAAAACCTAAAGGACATATTAAATTGGTTTACTTTTTTGTGGGTTTTTTTTCTGTTAATATAGGTTTAAAAAAAAGAGAGCAGTGGTCTAACAAAACAGCTCTTTCCCAATTTTTAATGTTAAATAAAGTCAGTTTTGTGTTTCTTATAAAAAA